TTGTGAACATGTTCTTGGTACAACCTGCAGTTACAGATAAGTACTTTCCTGAGCAACTGAGGAAGAGGAGGCTGCAAACCAATCCTGAGCTACTTGCTGTTGTCATCTGCAGTCAAGGCAGAGAAGGCTGAGAAGTGTTGCTAGGGCAAATGAAGTGTTAGGCAGTTTCCCAGCTGTTCCTTCTGAGGCACTGGATCCAAGAGAAGAATTCCAGCGGCATGTTGATGCAGTTCCTAATTCCATCTTTTGCTGATGGAAAAGAATTCCTATAACGGGCTCTTAGCTGTGTTTTTGCATATCAGGGAATGCCCCTGATGAGATGTGATTGGTTGTGTGCATCAGTCTGGTCACAATTGCTTTGCTGCTGACAGTGCTTTGTCAGTCTCAGCTGTCTGAGGTATCACTAAGTGCCAGGAAACCTTCTGACTTTCTCCATCTGGACTTGGGATTTGATTCTAGCATTTGGAAAGAGAAGTAATCAACTTTATGTCTACAGTACAATAGAATCAAGGTTGGGACCATAACGTAAACCCACAATTTTCTAATTGGTGCTATATGCTGGTGAACAATTAAAAGCAGAGCTTAGCAGAAACAGCTGACTGGAAGTTACTGCTGACATTTTCCCCTAAACTGGAGAAAGGTTCCTTTTATACCACAAGTTGTCTTTCTGTTCTGTACTGATTCTCTGCCAGCTTGGGGTTTTCATTTTATTACTTTTTTCTAGACTGTCATTATTATTCTTATTTTCTTTTCTGTGTCCTCTCCACTTTTCTGGCTTTTGAGGCTTTACTTTCTTAACCTCACTGTTTCCAGGTCTTCATGCCAGATTTCCTGTTCCTGCAACCCAGGTGTGGGGTATGGTATTTGCTGGCTATTTTCTTGTTCTTACTTTCTGGCATTTACATGAGTGATGTGGAATTGTCCTTGACACTGTGAACAACTTTTAGTTTTTCATTTTTCAATTTTTCATTTCAAAGATTAAATTAAAAAATAACCTGCGAGCAACATTTAGGAATATTGAGACAGGAAAAGTGAATAGATTGATTCACTTGGTTTATAAACTAATGAAGGTCACAAAAGCCTCTTGCACTCAGACATTTTTCTCTGTTCAGCCGCATATTCATAGATCTATAATAACATAAAACAAAACTCATTCTTCAAGACAGGATGAAGTATGCTTTATAGAGAAATTATGGAGTAATGTGTCTTTTTTGAGTATTAAAGATGGGTGTTGTCTCAGTAAGTCATAAAGGTAAACACAGCCATACCTTCTGGCTTCTCACAGTTTGCTGAAGCGCCAGTCCTGACCTGCTGAGATGTTGTGTCCTTAGTAAGAAAACAACTTCCCCAAGTGATATGCACACACTTGCTCAAGCAAATCTTGGCCTGATAAAACACAGCTTGTTTTCTTAATGGAGATTCAGAACTATGATTACAAATAAAATGTGACTGCTTTCTTTGTAGAACAGAGAATCTGGCTTTAGGTGTTCTACATGTAGATTTAAGCAGCAAGCTTCTTGCAAATGCTGCTGGAATTGCTTGGGCAGCCCTAATGTGCTTGTTCCTATTTGGAAGAGAAGTTTGGCCAGCTGCAAGTCTTGGCTGATAGCAGGAGCTTTTGTTTTGCTCTGAGTGTTGGGAGGTGAAAGCCTAAGATCTCATGAAAACTCCTCAGCTCTGCTGGTGAGCTGGTGGATGGGTGAGATGGGAAGTATTTGCAGATACTGACGAGGGGCAGTCTGCTCACACAGAAGCTGTAGGGCCAAGTTGTTGCTCAGCTTGCGATGTATCTGGATGACAGAGTGCTCACAGGGAGCAGATTGCTGACTCCAGCCAAGTGTTCACGTGCCCTGCAGTGTCACAGCTGACTTCTGAGAAACCACAGATGTCAGCTCCATGCAGACACTCGCAGCTTCGCCAGGAGGAAATGGATGACAGAGCGAGCTGCGTGCTGCCTTCAGCAAATATCAAAATAACTGGTTGATTCGTGTTGGTCTCTAAGAGCTGCTAAATGGCCTGAGATGAAGCATGTGGCCATGCCTGCATTTCCCGGGGTTTTCCTGGGTGAGAGTGTTGGAGTGTTGGTGGCCCAGCAGGGCAGCAGTCTGCGTGCAGGGTGATGCAGGACAGAGGGGCCTGTGTGGGGTGTGCAGTGCTGTGCTGCCGCTTCCTGCCGGGGGGCACGCTCTTCGAAGGGAAATGTGGTTGGGTTTCTTGGACCGCATCTCCTCCCCTGCTGTTCTCAAGAGTGTTTCAGCGACTGTCAGGCGTGGCCTGAAGTAGCTTTCATTTAAAGGGGAATAGAAAGGGTGAAGGCAGAACCGTCAGTAACCATGAGCTATTGACCTATGGCAGCTGTTCATGGAGGAGCTCGATTCAGGTAATCTTATAACTTTCTTATGCCTCTGATCTCCTCAGTGATGGCCTGTCGAGCCTTGCTACTATGACAAAGATATCACTGCTGAATCAATCCGCTGATTGGAGTATCCTTAATCTTGGTCTTCAATCAGCCTGTTGATTACCATCAGTCAAGTATCCTATTAAGTGGGAGGTCTGATTAACAACGCATCGCTTTAGAGCGTGGATACTTGTGAATGTAATAGGATGATATCCTGATGCTTGCATGTTCACAGAATTGTGTGAATGTGCAATGTGCAAGACAACAATAGCATCACTCTGATACTTATAGGGAAAGTTCATAATTCACAATTTCAGAATTTTCTAAATGAATGAAGAAACAGATGAATAATTAATACCAGAAACTGCAGTGCTTGTTCCATCAGCTGTTAATACAGTTACTGATTAACAGTGTTTCTTCCCATATTACCTAACAGCCCTGTTCTTACATATGACCTCCAGGCACTCAATTCTGTTACAGAAATGCGGAAGTGCGAGGTGAAATCCAGCAATGCCAGAACTTCTTAAAAGCTCAAGAGCAGACTCCTGCAGTTGTCCTTTCTCTGCTAGTTTCTCCAGTATTAAATAATGTCATTACAGCAAAGAGGCCTGGAGACTTGTTCTCTCCTTGCTTCTCCCTTATCCCTGCTTACTGTAGATACAGCTGAGATCCACAGCTGTGGGTTTTATTTCTTCTGAAATTGACCGTATGTTGGGCAAGTGAGGTACAGGTTACCATTCTATTGGCTCCATGTTAAGGTGTGGGGAATTATGCGTAGGGTCAGGATCCCAGCAAGTGTCAGCTTGCACTTTTGGTTGACGAATATTAATGTTTAGCTATGATTTAGTTATTGTTGGTTCTGTTATCTGTGATGAACTTAGTCTTTTTGATTTAGTCATATTGGAAAGAACCAAGAGATTAGAGACTTAGTTCTAGTAACAGTTGCCTCTACTCCAAAAGGGCGTGCTGTCTTGTTCTGCATATGCCAAACATCTGATGTGATAGCTATCATATAAAGGAAGGATGTGGGACTACTTCTTTGATTTCCTTCTATGTCACTGGGCTGCCCAGTACTCTCTGATTGGAGCAGTCCACCTTTCCCCAGAACAAAGATTCCCAAAAGTGGGGTCTGGCTGATGACTTCAGACAGTATCCATTATAATACTGAGTTAAGGGATTTATAACCTCAGTCTGTAATTTTCTGCAATGCTAAGTACTGCAGTCTGAAAAATCCAAAAGACCTTTAGTGTCTAGCCTTGTCCCAGCAGTTTCTTTGTGGCCAAATCTAAAAATCTGTTTTGATGCAGTTTTAAAATGTCTGCCTTATCTGCACATACTGTTCTAGGTTTAAGAAATACTGATATTTGTAGTGATACCTTACTTGAACTTTAGAGCTGTAGAGTTTCACCTCTTCTCTTTTTACAGAAAACATTAAAGCAATAGTGTGGTTGTACTCACGTGAGTACTTGCCATGTGAAGCACTCACAAACATGAAGTTGTGTACTGTTCTTTGTGACAAAACCTTCAGCTGAATAATTTGCTACACTTGCATGGTTTAAAGCTGGTCTCCTGAAAGCACAATTGCATCTGCATGGATTCATAGAGTCCTATTCAAATGTAGAAATTACAAAAAGTGTCAATCAAGAGATTAAAAATTAGATTTTAAAAATCTTTCTAATAAGTAGATACAGATTTTGTATTTCCCTTCTGTAGCTGGGAAAAGTATTTCCTGGCAGGGATATGAGAATTCTCAGCTATTTTAATTCCTGCTTCTCTTGCTACTTTTTTTTTTTTTTCTTGTGTTATCAATATGTTTGCCCATCCATCAGTGTAAATATGTGCTGTTTCTGGGAGGCATGAGTGAGAACATTGCTTTGTATGTGCAGATTGCAGGGTTACAGATATTTACTTCTCTTGGCTCAGTTTGGACAGAGTACTGTGATTCTTACGCAAAAAGGATGTTTTTGGTGTTTCAGATTCACTCTTGTATTCACCCTCTTGCTTGAGGATCAGGATCCTTTCAGACTACTGCCTTATGTTTTGCTTATAGACACTGTAGTGTGTTCTGGAGTTGGAGCAAGAAGGATCCAGATAACTAAGGATACTGCTGATATGAAATAAAAGTAGGTTTCCTTCATTGACTTTGGGAGAGTAGGACTTCAAAGGCTGTTGCCCATTCTACAGTGCACTCAGAGAGTGGCAGGAGTCAGATGAGTCCATTTGCAGATCTTTCTTATATGACATATTGGCATACTGGTTTTCCTACCTAACATGAGAAAGAAACTGTCCATCTCATGAGGGAGTGTTTTTTTTTTGTTGTTGGTTTTCTTTTTTGGTTTTTTTTTTCTTCATAAGCCTTTGCAGTGCTACTTCAGCACTTTTTTGTCTTTTTGAATTTTCCCCAGCTGTCCCCTTAGGGGAACAAATGAGGAAACTGTAGTTTCTCTTTCTTAAACTACATCCCCTTTTCTAAACTTTCCTTTGAAAAGTGTATCAAGTTCTCCCCCACTTCTGTGCTTGCTTCTCAGGGCTGATGTGTGTATATCCATGAATTTTCAGAAAATTGAAATAATTTAATGGGACTCTGTATGCTTTATTTTAGACTCAGGCTGCGACTCTGTAACTGATACAGAAACAGAAGACGAGAAAAACTCAGTTTACTCCTGCCAACTTGCCATGAATGAAGAGCAAGAATCATCCAAGAACATTGGGGAGCATCTGGTGGTGCAGCCTGATCACATACGCTGTGGGGTACTGTATGGCCATTTCCTGGGCTATGTTCTTGTATGCTAGTGCAACGTGTTATGTTCTCCACAGTTGAGGGTTTTACAACCTGGAATGTAGTCCCTAATTCATTTTTTGTTCCCTGTCTTCTCAGGTTCCCTCAGTGTCTCTGCTTTATAAGCTTGGTTTCCTAGGCCAGGAATAACTTGGTAATGTGCAGTGTCACTTACTGATGGATAGTCTCACTGACGTGGCTGCATGTCCTCTGTCTTATGAAGCAAGTTCACACTCTTAACTCTTCATCTTCCATTCTGGTGAGATTTAGTGCAGACAAGTGGAGTAAGGTGGTGAGCCAATTAACTCCAGCACCTGGATGCAATCTATCATGGAAGTTCTGGTGCTTGTCCTGCAAATGACTCCAAAGAGCTTGGAGCTTAGCTTCCTATTTGAAAAACAGCTTTTCTTACTCTGAGGTCCTTTCAGATGGAAAACACTAATACCATGGACCCGGAGAGTGGGGTAAGGCACCAATGGCTTCACCTCCTCTGCGGTGTACTTTTCAGTCACTGTGGCTGGGCTTCCATTGCATGGCTTTGTGATGTGGGGCAAGAGTGTAGGAGGGACTGGTTGTCAGAGGAAACTTCAGCTAACAATTTAGCAAAGCTTCACAGCAGTGTTACTGCTGCTTTACATTGCTTCCTCCTCTATCCCCCTACCAGGGGCAGGCTCACGCTTCAATGCACTGAAACAAAACTTAGTGTTTTTCCCTTGTCCCGTGAGTTGGCAAAACATCTGGATCTTAGTGCTTTTTCTTAAAGCACCAATTAAAGCATGAATTTAGGGAACCTCTGCTTTTACTTAGAATCTGACCTTCATGCTTTCAGGGAAACTTCTAAAGGAATGACATCTCAAATTTGGTAGCAACAGCCTGTGTCATGTCTTAGTAAAAAATTTTGAATGCTATACCCTGAGATAAGACCAGAAGTAAACTTTATGCCACCATATGATGGGGAAGGAGGAATAACAAGCTTTCAGTTGACAAATAGAGCTTCCCTTCTCCCTTGGCAGGGGCTGAGCACTATAAGAACAAAACTGTAATTCCTATAGACAGGTGAATGGATTTATTGTGCAGTGTGCGTGCGTACCTTGCAGCATGCTGGATTTGTAGCATATCTGAGCCTCTAACAATGAGTCACAGATGTTTAGTGCTGGGTTATTTTGATAGTTTCTGAATGTGCCTTAGATTATAGACATAATCTACTCTCAGCCTGGGGAAAGTAGCATTCTGTCAGGGCAGAGGGAGAACTGACATAAAGGATCAGACGTTTTAGGAAGTGTCCTTGCCTAAATGTTTTGAGTTCCCTCTTTGGTCTGTACAGCTTGACAACAGGATGTTTTGGGAAGTCATCAAACTGCTAAGCTGCTGGACTGATTTAAGCTTTTACAGAACTGATGAATTAACACAGAGAAAACTGTAGCTATGTGGATTATTTACTTATTTATTTATTGCATTAACTCTATTTGCTTGTTCATGGGAATGGTACTGTTTCCCTTTGGGCACCTGTTAGCCCATTCACTTTATATGTGTCCAAATCTTGGCTGAATATCCTGGTATCTTTCCTTATTAGATGAACTTCTCCAGTGCTGGTGCCTGAGTCTACCAGCACTAGGTGGCTGGTGGTAGTAGTAGTGACAGATATGCCCTGTCCGTGGATGTGTTTGGGGCCAAGCTAGATGGGACTTTAGGTAACCTAATCTAGTGGGAGCTGTCTCTGTCCATGGCAAGGGGGTTGAAGCTGGGTGGTCTTCAAGGTCCCTTCCAATCCAAACTGTTCTATCACTCTGTGATGTTAATGAAGTACCCTTTACAAGGATATTAAGAAAGATACAACTCCTATAGCACAGCTTCTCAGTGTTTTAAGGATAAATTCCTTAACTGGCAAGAAGTAGGTAGGAATGAACTCTAGAACTCATTGTAAGATAGAGTTGTGAAAGAAGATTCACCTCTGTCTTGGATCATTGGATCACTTGTTGCATGTTGCTGTAGGCTGCTTGCATTGGCCTAGACAAGGTTTATTATTTTTAGCATAAGTTTGGGGCAAGAAAGTCTTTTCAGGTTTTTTTTCAGATTAGTTATTATAATATCCAGTGGAGTAAGCCATGTAAATGACTACAAGTCAGGTCTTTGATCTATAAAATCCTGCCTGAATGAGAACTGAGCAATACTACATTGATGGTGTTAAAAGCTGCAAGGCATGACCCAGGAGATCTTCTGGTTTCCAGAACTGAGAACCTGCTCCAGAAATTCACTTTCATAATTCACATAAGTAGATGTTAGACATGTCTTGAGCCACAATTAAAGATTTGAAATGTAATAAAATATTGGAGTTATTTAATGTCATAACTAACTTCTTAAAAGCAGAGCCGGGGAGAATTTTACAAAGCTGAAGTTTTAGTCTTTTAAAGTTCAGGCTGAAGACACATGCTGCAGAGTAGAAAAAAAAAATAAGAGAAATTGGATAAAGCTTCTACAAGTCCTTTAATCTCCAGAATATATTCATTTTAAGCTTCTTTCTTTGTTTCTCATAAGAACAGGGCTGTGCTGCTTGAAGGATGAGGCTGCTGTGCTTGAAACTAAGTCAGTTTTTAAATAGCATCACTGAGTTTTTATCAGCTTAATGTCTGTATTTGTGCTACTGCGAAATGTAACAGAAGCCACCTGACCAGTTATTCCATAACTGGAAGGTATTACTGAAAACCACTTGGGATTGTGGAAACTACAGATTAATTTACACATTAGTCATGATAACAACAAAATCTCTGGAAAATGGGCTTCAGAGTGTTCTTATATTGTAAACCTGTATTTTCTAATGTCCTTTCTCTTAGGTACAGACCACTGTTTATATTATCATGAAATGTAGACTAGATGACAAAGTGAAAACTGAAGTTGAATTCTCTCCAGAGAACTCATCATCTGTGCGTGTGCTGGCTGAGTTGGAGAATGAATACACAATATCTGTGGAGGCTCCAAGTAAGATGGGCTGAGATTTGCTTTCCCACTTCCCCACCCCTCACTGCACCTCTTCTCTCCCAGCCTGCCTGTCCTGAATAATATCAGAGGGGTAAGGGTAGAGACTGCAATGTGGGGAACAGTGGGATCAGGAAATCTTGGACTTGTGTTCTTGTCTGTGATACTTCTGTGGTGTGGAACTGAGGAGACAGCTGCTTGACATCTGTTTTCCCAGCAGCAGTGTCAGGATTGCAGTGTGGAAACACCTTACTGGAAATTCTGCAAGCAGGTGACATCACATAAAGTGCTTTGAACTTAACTATGTTAGTGTTATAATCATGTTAGTATTCACAGACACCATGAGAACATAAGTGCAGGTAAATAATTGCTTATGGTACTTTTTTAATGTTTAATGATCTCTGTGTGAGCTGAAACTGTTTAACCTGACTTGCCTTTTTATTCAGTTGTGTTCTGTCACTCTGGATATTTATATTTACAGAAGCTTAGATTGTCTAAGCTTTAGGTTCACTAAACTTTAAGGGCAAGGTTTTTGAGCCCTACAGACTGATAACAGTTTCCCAGGATGATTTTATTTAATCTGCTTTGGTCTGTCCTGTTGAAGAGCAAATATACTATGTCTAGGAATAGAGAGACTAATAATAGTTATGGCAAAGACTCCTGTAAAGACTGTCAAGTGCATGGCTTTAAAGAAGGTAACCAAAGTCACATGAAAATGTTTAATTTAATTTGCTCTAAATCAAGACTTTGGATTTTAACACCTGGAAACTAGCTTACATGGCTCCCAGCACAGGAGGGATGCAGAGCTGTTGGAGTGGAGTGTTTCCCTTGTCTGTTCTCAATAATGATTTCTTCTCTTCCCTTTCATAGATTTAACTTCTGGAACAGTGCTTCTGCATATATATTCAGGGGACTTGATGGTGGGAGAAACGAGTGTCACCTATCATACTGACATGGAGGAAATCAGCAGTCTCTTGGCTAATGCAGCCAACCCAGTACAGTTCATGTGCCAGGTAAAAGCTCTAGCAAACAGCCAGAACATGGCTTTTCTCAGAAAGTAGATATGGGAATATAAGCAAAAGTGCTTGCCACAAGGTAGCTCTTCTGAAATGAAGAAAAACAGTTTTTTAGGGACTTTCTCATAGCCCTGCTGTCCCTATTTAGACCTTGATTTGAGAAGATTGAAATGACAAACTTGATACAAGTCAAATTACTACAGATGTCTGGATATTTGAACCAAAAGGTTTTTGGAAAAGATGTGATGATAACAGATTCAAACTTTGTGAGTTAAGCAGGATAAAATATAAGTATTTGTTTATTCTTAGATCTTATTTATTTTAAGTCAATCCTTAATTCTCATATGACATTTTGCAGTTAGGGTAGCTGAGCCCTATTATAGAGTAAAACTTGTACAAATGTGTTCTCCAGGTCTTTTGTCTTACTCCCTGTCTGCATGTCCCTATTAGCTGTGTGACAGAAGCTGTAGAGTAGTGTTGATCACCAGCACTAAAGAAGTTGTCTCTCACCTCCTTTTAAATCCAACTTAATAAGCAGTTTTTACTGGGCTGTGCTCCTACCTGGGGAATAGGCATGCTCCACAGTCTTTGGCTAAGAACCAGTCAAAACCCAGAATGTACACCAGGGCAATTCAAAACTGATTCATTTGTACTTAAAGCAGTAGCAATACTTCATTGGAATGGTGAGATTATATCCATCAAGGTAGATGGAAGTAAGTCTTCTGTGCTCCCAGTTGTGCAAATGACTTTCTTCTTGTACTCTTCTTGTGGAGTGCATAGTTCTCATCTGTTCAGATTAATGATCTTCTGTTTCTGGACAAAGAAATTCTTTGTGTTCCTTGCTTATTCTAAACAGTTCCACCTTAAGTGTTTATGCTTAGTTTTTTTCCCTATATATACTACATAAATAAAATTTAATACATAACCATGTAAATCTTAAGTAAATCTCCGTAATTCCACAACCAAAATCACTTTCCATCTATCTCTAGGCCTTTAAAATCGTTCCATACAGCATAGAAGCTCTGGACAAACTGTTGACTGAGTCACTGAAGAAGAACATTCCTGCCAGTGGCTTGCACTTGTTTGGAATCAACCAGCTGGAAGAAGATGATATGACAACAAGTAAGTTGAAAGATTTTTGATTTATTTTTAAAATTCATGCCTATAGACTGTTTTTACTTTGGAGCACCTGTAGCTCATCGTTCCTGGATAGGCTATCTGAAAAAGTCTTAAATCTTAGCCAGGTAGCTAAATTTAAGATGCCTATAGAGGGAGGATTCCGTATGGTAGTGTGACCCTTCTTTGTTACATATTGCATCAGTTTCTTATAGTCTGACAGATACGGCTATGTAGACAGCTTCAGCCACAACTGAAGTCAAAAGGTAGTGCTCCCCAGAATGTCTCACTTGTTCTCCTGGTCCCATATGGCATTTCTCCCAGTTCAGTCCTTTTCTAACCTTATGAATCTGTTCCAAGGTGCATAGTGGGCAGTTGGATCAGTGTATTACCATGATGTGGTTGCCTTACAGCAGCTGGAAATTAGTGGAATTATGATCTAAGAGATCCTTCCAAACCTCTGATCCTATCTATGTTCAGCTAATACAGTGCCAGATTCCCTGCTAAAGATGATAGGATTCAGACCTGGAGATGTGCTGGATACCTCAGCGACTTCACCTGTGTGAAGTTAGCTCTGTTTTAAAACAGTATATGTACTCCTCAGGGTTTCAGGCCTACTTCAGTTCAGTGTGTTTGCTAGGATGTTAGATTCTCATTTACTGTCTTTGTTGCTGCTGGAGAAAAACTTAGATTCTAACAGGCTTCTGTTCTCACAGATCAGAGGGATGAGGAGTTGCCAACACTGCTTCACTTTTCTGCAAGATATGGGCTGAAAAACCTTACTGCTTTGCTGCTGACATGCCCTGGAGCACTGCAGGCCTACAGTGTAGCCAATAAATATGGTCACTATCCAAACACGATAGCAGAAAAGCATGGCTTTAAGGACCTCCGACAATTCATTGATGAATACGTGGTAAGAAGGAGCAGCATTCTTCTACATTGCCCTACAGCAAGTGTGGATATCAAGCTTTGCACTGAAAGTGTTGTGTGTGAGGAATGCTGAGGTAGTAAAGGGTGCAGGGTGATGTGGTAGGGTGTAGAAAGCAGATGTACAGCCACCAAGAAAGCTTCTGTGCTTGAGGGTTGGTTTCATCTCTGGAGCCAGGATAATTCATAGGGGAAAGAACAAAAAAAGATGGAATCAGAGCCTGTGATGTTGGGTTTCCTTGTCATTCATCCATCCAGTGATGTTTCTGCAGACACATGGTTCCTCATGTACATTTCTAACCTCCTGATCTTGGCAAACTGCAGCCCCTTCCTCTCCCTCCATGTGAGAAATTTATGAGAAAGTGTTCTGCTGTCCTGTGAATCGAAAGTTGTTGGTATTACTTGAGCAGCTGACTTCTATGAGGTTTCCTGTTAGTTTCAGAGAAAAGGGTGGTCTGTATACTCCCACTAGGTGTTACATGCTACTGCTATTGCCAAAAAGCTGAAACTGAATCTAGTTAGCAGAGTTAAAATTTGTTTTCTTGGAAGTGCTCTGCATGTGGCAAAACTCCCTTTATGGTAAGCTACGCTTACTCCAAAACAGCCATTTATAGCCTTTGTAATTTTAGAATGAACTTGTGTTCTAGGAGATTATAGATGTCAAGTAGAAAATGAAACTGAGGGGCAGAAAGGTACTAGTGGTTATTCAGAATGGGTCAGCATCTGCTTGTTTCACCTTAATTGTCTGCCATTACAACTTAGATCATGGAGGCTGGCCCCAAAGAATTGTAGTATGGATTTAGCTCCTATGAGAAGCCTTAGTGTTTGGGAGTGGAGTGCTCTTGGAAGGCTTTTTCCACTAGTGGTGGAAGAGTGATGTGTTTTGCTTTGTGCTTATTCTCCAGATTCTTTATTTAATTTTGTTGGTTTTTTTTTTTCTCCTTGGACTCTTCTCTTTACAGGAAACTGCAGATATGCTGAAGAGTCACATTAAGGAAGAGCTGATGCAAGGCGAAGAGGATGAGTCTGTTTATGAATCCATGGCTCATCTTTCTACTGACCTGTTAATGAAATGTTCCTTAAACCCAGGTTCTGACGAAGAGCTTTATGAATCTATGGCTGGATTTGTCCCTGGTGCCCCAGAAGATCTTTGTATGTATAATCACTACGATATTTTGGGCTTAAAAACCTCACTTGCTCTCTCTCGTATTTAATATGGTCCTGGTTGAGTTTCAAGAGTAAAGGCTGGTTATAGTTTTTCCACTGTAAGGAAATCAAAGTCCACTTTTGATGTTGGCTGGCTGTAGCGGAAATGCTGAGTCACAGCTTGTAGCAGTAATTGAGCTCCTGGTGGAAGAAGGCAGGGCCAACCCAGGGGAGCTTAGGTGCATGCAATGCTCTTGAGTGACCGGAAGGGGTGGAGCCAGGATCCACCCTTTACCAATCTCATGTAAAGGTTGGCAGTGGAGGCCTAGGGTATCTCTGTGGAGATCCTTGTATACCTGTGGCTTTCTGAAGGTAAGTAGCTTCTGTCCTTTATTCCTGTACCCACAGCTGTTGCATGTGAGCAAATCCGCACTTGCTGCAGCCTGGGATCCTGCTGCTCTGCTGTCATTGCTGCACTTTCCATCACGTTACACTGGCTTATAAAATTGCTCAAAGGCTTCAGAGCAAGATTACAAGATCAAGAACTGTTTCCCCATCTCTGAATGGGATTCACAGACTAATTCTGAAGAAGAGAAAAGCATGCTTAATACCACTAAGACCAACTCATTGTCTTCCATTTCTGGGACGTACAGAAATCCCAGAAACTGTGAAATGGTATTCCTTTCTATCATGGATGTAAATCGCATGCTCTCTGAAAGTCTAGTTGAAAACTGGTAAATTGCAATATGACATTCTGTCAAACAAACTACACAAAGTTAAACAGCTCAGGTAGAGAGGTTTTCCTGCTCTCACTTACTCAGATCTTAGAAAGGAATGTGGCTGGCACTTTGGATGGAGTGCACCATACACAGCATGCTTGGCTGATGGGCATGGAGATGGAGAGCTAACACATGGCTGCCTATGGATGGGAAGAGTTGTGTAGTCAAAGCCTCAGTCAGGCAGCTTTCCGTGGGTCTCCTCAGCAGGAAAGTCCAGTAGACTGCAAGCACAAGCGAATCAGCAGGATGATGGAGGTTTCCAGGGTCAGCAACAGAAAGTTCTCCTGGTGTATGCACATGATATAGGCTCTGCAGTAAAGGTAAAAACCCAAACTTGCCCCAGAAATAGATATTTATGGTTTCTGTGCTGGAAAGCATGGCTAAATGAGTCTGTTTCAAAATACTGAGCAAGTGTTCTATGTGGCTCAGTAAGAGAAAGAAGAGTACCCTGCTTTTTCTGGGGTTCTCCCAGTGTATTGCTACTGTGGACATATTTTTGTCACCTTCCAGTCAGGAGTATTTTACAGAAAATATCTGTTATTTCTTATGTAGCCTATTAATCTTTGCCTGATTAATATTTACAACTTATCCGAACAATGCTTATAATTTACCTGTATCATAACAGGTAAGTTTAAATTGGCACAGTGCTCCAATACTGGTTCTCTCAAAGTGGGAGAGTTTCACCATTTTTTAGAACACCAGCGAAGAAGAAAAAGCCCACTGAAATTGGTAGGAGTGCTGGCTGGCTTAGGACTCATTTGGTTAGGATCACAAATGAAAACTTCAAGCTTTTGTACTGACCTAATTTTGGGGGGATGGAAAAATTCTCTAGGAAGTAATAAACATCTGCTGCTGAAGTACTTTCTGCAGGTCAGAATAGCCCTTATGTAAGTACTTATAGCTGTGGCACAGAGGACAATACCTGGGCTGTTTTAAATGTAGTCATACTGTGGCAGCATGCCCATTTGTTGTAATCAGAATATGCTTCCATGAGTTTCTTGGAGACTGATCAAAGAAAGGTTGGTAACACTCAGCTTGCCTAGCAGAAGCTGATTTGAAAAGAAAGAGCCATTGTAATGAGAAAAGTAGCAACAAATACTTTGATACCAGAATGTTCTACCAGTTCTTACATTCTTCATCCCACTTCATTTCTTTTAATGTGTTTTTGGTTTTGATTTTTCTATCTGCACTTGGTCTTGGGGAAACATTTGCAGAGAAAGTGCAGAACCTACAAAAGGGCCAATTTTAAACTGATGCTGCAGAAAGTCGAATGCTGCTGCTGAGGGTTACTGGTGGTCCCTGTAAGTTTTGTGTGGGTTTTAGTAGCCTGAGCAGTGCAAATCAGAAAGTACTCATAACTCGGGAACTTAGCAGTTCCTGCTGTTACCTTGTTTGCTGTTTTTTTTTTAAAAAATGAGATTGAATTGCCTCATTAAATTCCTTATAAACTGTTATCATTCCTACCTCAGAAGAGCACTTCCCTTTTATTACCCTTTTCGAATACTCCCAATGTCAAACAACTTTCTTGAATATGATTGGAATTTGCTCTAAGCTGGTGCAGATCACAGGTAAATATCATTTAGCTGAGTCATTCACAGACTGTAACAAACAACAGCTGAATAGCAAGAAGGGAAAGTGATGTCTATCATACCAATCTTGTAGTACAAACTACAGCATCAGATAAAATGCTTTACTTTTTCTGCTTCCCCCTCACCAGCATCTCCTGAATTTTACAAAATAGTATTTGTGAGTAGTCTAGAATCAGTGTAGGGAAGGAGAATCTAAGTGCAAGGACTCTAGAAAATGCTGAAAACCTTGGTTTTCAAAAACCTTGGTTTTTTTCCTGGCATTGAACTGCCAGGTTTTTCTGTGTGTATTCAGTGTATGAAGTACCTTGAGCAAGAAGATTCCTGCAGAGAGTACAGAATGATAGCACTTATAATCTTCTCTTGCACTTTTCTTTGCTGACTTATGTTTGATAAGTCAGCTTAGTAGGTAAGGCTGAAGCTTGTTGTTGTGCCATTTTACTTGAGGAAACATTTAGATTGCATTTTGTCTATGCAAGGCCAGTTGCTAACAGTGGCAAATCCTGGTGGGAACAAGTCCTGACTCATGACATTGTTTCCATATCTATGAACTCTGTGGACATTCAAACCAAAAGAGTTTGAGTTTCGTCCTTTATCCTTGAGAGTTTCAACCAAATAAAATACATTGTCCTGTAATTTGTAGAGCTCCAACGCCTAAAAATTAGGTACTTATGATGCCCTTGTTCTACATCCTACGTATCCTTTCCCTTTCCCACTATTTTTATTCTCTTAAGACTGAGTTTTTGACGCTGTCCTTATTGGTTTTTATTTTTTTTTCTTTAGTTGATACAAGGAACAGCAGCCTCATTGTTTTCCTTGAGCAAACTGAGGGAACTGTGCAGCAAAATATTAACTACTTGTAAAGTTCAGGGGTGTAATTTATACCAACACATTGAAACCTTTGTCTTACATAAAGGATAGGTCTGTGTAAAGAGGCAGCTTTCTTCATGTGCAGAAATACTTAACTCCTATTGTTTAAAAAAGTTTAAAGGGAGAAGGATATAACCTTTTGTTGCACAGTGTGCATGCATACGTATTTTAGCTCTAGCAAGGGGTCAATGGGTCATAATGCATCTTCTATACATTTCTCTGTTTGCAAGTTACTTGAGCTCCCTTCTGAAATCTTAAGCCCTGCAAAGGGGAAGTAAAAGTCTCTTTGAAGAAAAGTATTTTGGTTATTAAGTTCTGAAGACTGACATCCAGAACCTCTAGCTCACTCTTCCCACTGGCCCTTCAGAGCAGCATCACATGCACAAAGAAATCCTTAGTGTCTGCTTGGAGCCTTGTCAGAAGTTCTCACCAAGCAATGTTAGTCACCTCTATTTTCTTCAAATATAAGTGGCAGACTGCTGGCAAAGGTTTGTGTGAAGTGGACTTCGATTATTTGCAATTTATATTACAGGCAATTTATTGAGCCTTTAGAGGCAAGAGTCTGGTCAGTTGTCTGCTGTAATTTTTGATGTTTGCTATAAAATGAAAATCCAATCAGAACTGTCATGTCATTTTGTGTGATGTTGTTCATTGTGCTTAAGGACATAATCAACAGGCTCATTGGTCTGATTTTTCTTTTTCAGATGTAGAAATGCTTCAGTCCAAGGCAGACACTCCAATTTCTGGAGATGAAATCTCTCTAACTGTGAAAGACTCGATGCTCCGCAAGTTTTTAGAAGGTGAGACCTGTTTGGAGAGGAGGGGAGCAGCACATACGGAACAATTAAATGGAACTTGAGATTCGTTCTTGATCTGTTGAGACAGGAGCTAGTACTCACTATTTGACACAGACAGCCTTGCTTTAGTGGGTACAGATAAAATGCAGTAGTAAGAACATCCTGTAGAGCTCATGAGGTGACTTGACTAGTGTGGTTTGTATCTTACTATGAAAGATGACTGACTTCTTGTCCAATCTATGCTTATCAGTGAGTACAAGCACACAGTTGTTATCTGTTCAGAAACGGCAGTCTTTGTCCTCATCTTTGTAATGGGAATTAACTCTGATGTCTTGATGCTCATGCAGGTTAGCCTCATGGGCAGGGCCTGAGTATAAAGTGGAGCAGCATTAGCTAGTGATGAATTTTAATGCGGATGCTTTGTTCACAAGTCAGTCTATTTGAAAGTAGCAGACTGAAAAATGGAGAAGAAATTCTGGTTCCCAAACATGCTGTGGGCTATCCCCCTTCGCATGACATGGTCATCTGAGCACTTTCCCAACTCATCAGGTTCCATGGGATCCAGACTCACTTTCCACGGGTTACCCAGCTGCATTCAGGGCAACATTAAAACTGTGTCTTTTAACATATTGTTCTATTTCCTCTGCCAGCACTGATACTCTGGCTTTCATTGCATTAATTTAGCTAGGCGTACAGCAGCACTGAAGGCAAATAAGTCCGATGACTAGGTTATTCATTTATGACTTGGTAACAGTGCAGGCAGTTAGTCCAAGGGCTCTTAATTGTCTTAATCTTGAGCCGATCGTTTCCCAACTTACAAATGCGTGAAACTAACTTTTAAATTAGATATGACAGCATTTGATTTTGCAGGGAGGTTAGTGAGAACAGAATGGGGGTGACAAAGGTGGTGTAGTACGAGCTGGGTCTTTTAAGTGCGGATGCAAGCAGCCAGCTCCCTCTGAGTTCTGTTTTTCTCAAGTCAAATAAATTGTCAGCTGGTTGTGATTGTTTCAGAAAAAAGAAAAATTCCCTCTAATGTTCTGCAGACAGCCACAAGTAACTTTTGGAAATCAGTGCCCTATTTGATTTGTTAACTACTGTCTGTTAATGAACTGGAACTCAAGATGTTCCTGGTTACCAGTGTCAGTAGTAATTCTTAGACCAATTTTTAGACTTTCCCCTGTGGTTTCTTTACCAAAGCACACAGTACAAGCTTAGTAGCAAATGCTTACATGCTACTAGGTATTAATGACTTTACGGAATCCTGTCTTTAAGGTCTTTGGCACTGTAATTCACTGCAAAACTGTGTATTTTTACCTGAGAAATGACCAGGTTGGTAAAAATGTGAAACATTCCACATCTGGAGGGATCCAGTTTTCAGTGAAGTGGACAGGTTATTTTTCTTACGAGCCTTTCTATGTTGTAGGTGGTAGCATGGATGCACCAGATTCTGGGGAAGGAGATTCCCAGCAGTATGGTGAAGATGTCTATTACTCAGTGGAAAAAGATACTTTTCCCCAGGAAATGGCTAGCAGACCTCCAGTTCCTGTTCCAAGACCAGAGTCCAGCTCTCCACAGCCAGACAATGAGCTGTACATCTCCAAAGGTGAGTTGGGTACCGCGATCTTTACCAGTCATCTTTAGAATGGCATTGACAGAGGCTCCAGTTACCAAATACGCACCAAGAAAATCTACTCAGTGTTTCTGTGACCCTTTGATTATTTGTCTCTCAACCATAGGAACTGGATTACCTTTGGGATTTTATTTCTGTTTTTCATTTTCTGCCTACTCTGAAAATGTGGAGTTGTTGTATCCTGAGGTCTTGGCCTGAGATTTCTCTTAATGAAAACATGAGGATGACAGATTGCCCCTAGCCAGTATAAACAAATCCATCTAAACATGAAAGATTTTGGTATTGTGAGGGTATGATCAAGCTAATAAATTGAGAACTTGCTGCTCTGTAATGGTATCATTAGTTCAATGGCATTTACATAGGACAGTACCTCATTCTGAAGTGATTCCAAATTGAAACTAAGGAAAACTTCTTCTTAGCCTAAGCCCCTTGTGAAAATTGTCATATTCCACAAACACACTAACAAGAACTCTAGTTGAGTGTGGGAAAGTAATTTCAGTAATTTCAATTTCTCACCATTACACTACTGTAGGAAGGTATTTCCAGAGTTCTCTTAGAGGTGACTGGGCTAAATTCTTTGAAGATGACAGAAGGGGAGTTTTACTGTACAGCTCATTATTCTGTTTTCTTTAGTGGTCTTATTAGGGTTCAGTAGGAGCTTAACAGAAGCTGTAACGCAATGCGGAATTGAGAATGCTTACCCTATTCATCCTGATACTTGTCTTCCTGACTTGTGATAAGTGTCTAAAGATTGTTGGTTTTTCAGTTTTTGCACAGAAAACTCAAAGACCTGAGAATCTCTATGTCCCTAGAGGAAAGGTGAGGAAAGGTAAGTCAGAAGTTCATCCTGAATATCTTTCAAGTAATCCAAAAGCAAATCTGCTGAGGTAGTGTTGTTCAAGTGAGATGTGTATGTGACAGAACACTGTCTTATAAGACTGGGGATAACAGTCCTAAATGAATGACTTGACCTTACGTTATACTGCAAACTTTCACATCCGCAGTGTGAGGAGTGCTCTTTTATCTCATACAGTACGTATCTCCTGTCTCAGTGTTTATCCTAAGATGGGATTTTAATGATGTTTGAAGTCCTTTTTTGTTTTGACCCCTATTGCTTCATGGAGCTGATACTCCACTCCTGGTCTTCTGGATGTAGTCACTGCCTGCTGATTGTTACTTCCTGGGATTTAACCTGTAGTGCACTGCCTCCCGTTGATCTCTATGCTCCAAAATTATGACCTTGCTCTTTAACTTCTAATCCAATTCATTGTCAAAGTGCTAGGAACCATCTTTATCTCTTATCTCCTGTGTTAGGTACTCCTTTTTTAATGTTGTAAATGAGGTAAAAATAGCCAGCATCAGTAGGATGAGCTTTCAGCTGCTGGAGTTACATTGCACGGATTAGGAAGTCCAGCTTTGTGATTGCAAAGTGAAACACTGTTTTATGGGTTAATCAGGGGAGAGAGGTACTTTTGAGATGAGGAAACAAAGGGCTTAAAGGAGGGCCTTTTGTGCTGTTCACTTAAATTTATTTTATTTTAAGCATAGAGATTATCTCTAGGACATTATGCACAGTACTACCTCCCAAGCTTTTAGCCTTGATAAATGGTGTCAGGACAGATAAAGACTAAATACTCTTCTGGTTAGTGAAACATTCAGCTAATTCAGTAGTGGGGCATCAAGGCTGTTTGAATTGCTTTGTATTCAGCAAGGAGGGCAGATAACACGAGCTCAGTGATATTTTATTGTCTCTTCAGAAACGATGGTCAGGCCTGTTAGAGACTTGTCTCAATCAAGTATATATGATCCATTTGCTGGAATGAAAACCCCAGGTCAACGGCAGCTGATCACATTACAAGAACAAGTGAAAATGGGCATACTCAACGTTGATGAAGCTGTACTACACTTTAAGGAGTGGCAACTAAACCAGAAGAAGAGATCAGAATCATTCCGTTTCCAGCAGGTACTGGTTTATTCCGCTGTTTAAGAAATACAGTGATCTCTCTAAGCATATATCCTAAACATTTCAGCGTAGGTACACTCCTTTCCAGGTTGGAGCAGGAAGACTCCTCACAGTCCCCCCACTAGCAGGTTTTTCTTCTGACTTTGAGGGGCTGTTTCCATGAAGCAGCAAGCAGATAACTGTTTTATAGTTCTGTTTGTCTTGCAGTAATAGTTTTAGTCTTTCAAAGATGGAGGACGCTAGGAATCAGGCACAATCCAGGTAACTAAATTACCTTTCTTTCCACCTAGCATCTACTTGCTGGCAGGGACTTCAGCGAATGAACATTCAGGTTGTCAGTTGCCATCCATTTCAGATCAATGAAGACTCTGTCCCAGATGGTGTATTGCTATTAAACTCCTGTCCTATAGATGGACTGATGCTTCCTCAGGTCATTTGAAAAATTTTGTCTGATGGCTTTCATTCCTGCAGCATCCAGAACTGCCTGTTCTTTGTAGCTGGGCGAAGTCTAGTGAAAGTGCCGTGGTTGAATGAGGAAATCATTCAACTGTTGGCAGCAGCAATGCAATGACTGGTGGAACTAGCAGTCACGTTTTCAGGTTTCTGTTATCTTGTTAGTGTGGAGTTCCCTATTTGAAAGCATTCCCTGCTTCTTTTGGAGCCTTGTGGTATCTTGTGTTCCTTCTGCTTCTCTGCCTGTTCAGGGATTTTCTCACTTTCACATATGTATTCATTTCTCTGCTGTAAAAGCTGTCTTATAGTAGGAAAGGAGTGGGGAGGTAATAAGTGGTATGTAAATAAACTTTATTCCCAGTTATATTTGCAGGTGAGCCCTCTTGCTTTATTGGGGGACATCCCAGTTCTCTCAATTGTCCATCATTCTCCGATGTGTGGAAATCTGTCCCTACAGTCAGAATTATCTTTTGTTAGTACAGAAAGGACTGTGCAGTTACTTGAACCTGTGTCCTGTTTCTGTGCTAGTGTAACAGTGGAGACAGAAAATACAGGGATGTTCTAAACCCAGTGTGCTTTTATCTGCAACTATATCTGATCTGTGAACCTGACCTGAAAGTATACAACATCTGAAAAAAAGAACTTGGCTTCTAAAAGGCATGCAGGGATTTCTGAAGAGAATAGATTAAAACTTGTTGACGTGGTTTGGACTTCATCCAGGTTCAGCAAGCTTTGTTATGGATTGGTTGTAAAGGAGGCTTAAATATGTTCCTTCACTGTCAGAAAACCATTCATCCTCCATTGTCCAAAGCCCTGAAAAGAATATTTTGTGATCTTTTAGGAAAATCTGAAACGGCTACGAGACAGCATAACCAGGAGGCAAATGGAGAAGCAAAAATCAGGGAAAAGTGCAGGTAACAGTCTCTGGTTCTGAAATTCTCTGGTAGTGAGGCAACTAAAAATACTAACAGATTCTTGAGGCAGAAATGTCGCCATATTGTAATTATGTGATATGATACTCACATCTATGTGCCTGTTGGCTAAAAAAGACAAAGCTGCTTTACTCCTCTTTCCCAGGCTGAGAAAAGGATGTCCACACCTGTGGAGTGAATCCTGATTCATACATGTACAATTACGATCATCTTTATGTGACTGTTTAACTTTGTTTTGGGATGTGAAGCTATCTCAGAGGTTAGACTCAGTAGATCATTCTGTTCTTTGTTCTCATTTTGCCCTCCAGATCTGGAAATTACAGTACCCATTCGACGTTCTCATAATACTTTGGGGAAACCAGAATGTGGCATATATGAGTATACTCCAAGGAAAAACGTATTCCCACCAAAAAAGGAGCTAAAGCGAGGAGACTGGAAAACAGAAAGCACATCCAGTACAACAAGTAAGCAAACCCTGAGTGTCACCCCCTCTCTGCAGGAAATCTGGGCAGAAAATATTTCCCTAGCATGAGTCTGGAAGCCAGCTCATGAATCAGGACTTCTGTTGCTGAATCCTAGTGCCAACACTGGCACCCTGAAGTATGCATGCCAACTGATTTCAAAGCAGTAAAAGCAACTCCAGGTTCATCAAGGGATTTGGGTACTCATGTTGTGCATGAATATCTACAGGAGGAAAAGTGAAAGCTGGGCAAAATGTTTCCCTTGAGCCTTCTGAAGAAAGGAATAGTCTCCAAAATCAGTCCTCAAAAGTAGATGACAGCTGCTTTCATAGGAAAATAAATAAATAAATAAAGTTATGTTCCCTTGCTGTTACTCCCAGCAATAAATGTGCTGTTCTGTTCTGAGGGACGTAGCCATATTGCAGGCTGGGAACAGATCTCTACTTGTAATTTCCTCAGATGTTATAGATAAAGGGCAGCATTTCTCATTGATTTCTCTGGGACCCAAGCTTCTGAGTGATTTGGACGCTCTGGATGTATTTATTATATTTGTGTTTTATGAAATTTAACCATGCTAATGAAATTCCTGCATTCTCACAGACTCTGCAAACTGAGCACAGAAAGCTCATTCAGTTATTCCAGAAATTAGTGTGGTGATACCCTTAGCCACGTACCTGTATGCAGTTTGGACACAGGGACTGATAATTTAAATACACATAAAAGTTGAGTGTGTAACAGTTGTGAAAATATTTACCTGACTTGCAGTCTGACACTGGCACTGGACCCTTGCAGTTAGATTATGGCCAAGTATTTAACCAGAAGCCTGGACCTTGGCAGTGGAGAAGTCTGCCAGAAAGTTAGATCTGAAGGGTTTGGCCCAGTGATCAGTGTTGTAGGAAATGCAATCGTTTCAATCTTGAACGTGTGAAAAATAACAATGGAAACGACTTTATCTAAGCAAGTATTAAATCATATATGCAAGAGATACAGATGAGATTATGAGGAATAGTGAGTCAGTGGTTTGCAGTAAAATCACAAGGATCTAATGAACCGTTTTTCCCTTGCTTACTAACCCTAGGTAGTGCAAGCAACCGCTCCAGCACTCGGAGCATATTGAGTGTCAGCAGTGGGATGGAAGGGGACAGTGAGGTAAGCTCTCAGCTACATGCACTCACGGTCTTTCAATGGCTTTGTTTTTATATGGGAAAAATAAAGTTTTTAGGGATAGCAGAGTATTTTCATAAATATCAAAATGTAGCTGCTTCTCTCAGGAAGGTAATAAAAACCAAATTCTGCTGGTCTGCAGCCTGTTGTGCAACTCCCTCTCTGCTGCTTCTGTCTTGATTAGATGCTTCTGAACCACACTTCATGCCATTGGTATCAACCATTTTGATGTTTTGCTACCAAAAGTGACTGAAAATCTGTGTCTGGGACTAGTTTGTAATCTTATTTCACAGAATTCAGTACACAGGCACATTACTGATAGTACATGTGTCTTTGTTTTCAATTGTATTGATCTTATATTTGCATACACTAACTGGTCCAGTCCTGAAGCTATGTGCCAACTTGGACACTGAGGAAAACGTGTGCTTTAGAGGTAAATTGTTTCAGAAGCACCTGCATCTTGAGATTTTGTTGTCGGTTTCTTTTTGATAGGACAATGAAGTCTCAGAAGCAAGCAGAAGCCGCAGCCCTATCCACAGCCAAGCAGAGAGGCTGCCTCTCCCCCTGCCTGAAAGGCCTCCCAGAGTGCCCCCTCGAGGTGCAAGCAGGTAAATAGAGCTAACGGGGAGCTCAAACCTGAGCTTTTCAGTGAATCAGTACAGAAGAAATGCACGTCTTTTCAATAGGTCTGCCAAACTGTTATGTGTAAACAAGCACTACTAAGTAACTGTAAGGTCGATTCTTCCTTCTTGTCTGCAATACTCGATGGAATGAGTTTCCTGTTGGTAACCTGCCTATTGCAGTGTTGTCACTGTGGTTCTCACACATCCAGAGGTGAACAGTGCTACAGATGCACGCAGTTTGCCACAGTGAGGCAGATCTAACTCAACTAGAATCCTGTGCCTGGCAGAGAGCTGGAATACTTGATCCTCCTGAGTAAATCCTCTCAGAACAAACTAAATGCAAAGCAGAAGGAGTTGCCTTCTAGCATTCCTTTGCAAGTTATTTTCTCTTTATAAATTCAGATCTGGACTTCAGTAAGGCTGTTCATGCAGTACCCCATAACATCCCTCTCTACAAATAGGAAAGATACGGATTTGATGGGTGCATCGCTCAATGGGTGAGAACTGGGTGCAGGATCAAATCCAAAGAGTCAATGGCTCAACATCTGAATGGATATCAGTGATGAGTGGTGTCCCTCACAGGCCAGTGCTGGGACTGATACTCTTTAATATATTCATCAGTGACACTGACAGTGGGGTTGAGTGCACCCTCAGCAAGTTTGCCAATGACAGCAAGCTGTAGGGTGCAGTGGGCACACCAGGCAGATGGGATACCATCCAGAGGGACCTGGACAGACTTTAGTAGTGGGCCCAGGTAGAACCTCATGAGGTTCTATAAATCCAAGCATGAGGTCTTGCACCTGAATCATGGCAACGTCCACTACCAACACAAGCTGAGGGATTAAATGACTGAGCACAGCCCTGCTGAAAAGGACCTGAGTGTGCTGGTGGATAGTAAGCTGGATGTGAGGCAGCAGTGTGCCCTTGCAGCCCAGAAAGCCAACTGTATCCTGGGCTGCATCAAAAGAAGCGTAGCCAGCAGGGCAAGGGAGGTGATCCTGCCTCTTTGCTCTGCGCTGGTGAGGCCTCGTGTCTTGTACTGTGTCCAGATGTGGAGCCCTCAGTGTAGGGGAGATGTGGACCTGTTGGAGCATGTCTAAAGAAGGGCCACAACAATGATCCAAGGAATAGAATACCTCTCTTATAAAGACAGGCTGAGAGAGCTGGGGCTATTCAGAGCTGGAGAAGAGAAGGCTTTGGGAGACCAGAGAATGGCCTTTCAATATCTAAAAGGGAGCTACAAGAAAGAGGAGGGCAGACTCTTTAGCACAGTGTGTTCTGGTAGGACAAGGGGAAATTATTTCAAATTCAAAGAGGGTAGATTTAGGTTAGGTGTGAGGAAAAGTCTTTTACAGTGAGAGTGGTGAGGCAGTGGAACAGGTTACTCAGAGATATGGCAGGTGCCCCATCCCTGGAGACTTTCAAGACCAGGCTGCCCAGGCTGTGAGCAATCTGATTGAGCCATGGATGTCCCTATTCATTGTAGGGGAGTTAGACTAGCTGACTTTTTAAAGTTTCCTTCCAGCTCTGAGGATTCTATGACCTCTCCAGGCCATGATATTTACATGTATGATTTGCCTCAAAGTAAGAACTGAACTCATTTGAGATAAGGTGTTGGGAAAGGGATGGGAATGCTGCATTGATTGGACTGGACCACCAGAAACTCAAGTAACTTGCAGATGCTCCTTTCATCCAATCACTACAAGTCTATGAAGTCAGGAACCAGAGAATTATATGAGTAGATGTTAATAAAATGCTTCAACTGCTAAAATAACTATTACTGATGTGTGGAAATAATAAGGTTTGTGTTTTGTCCTGCTTTAGGCAAGAATAAAGTTGGAATTCATCTGTAACTAATTTAAAACAAAAAATTAAAATTTGATGCCTTTGCTCTTTTCCTAATTCTCTTCAACTAATCTTCAGAAAAGAAGCTACTATATTATCAAACCTTATTCCAAACAAGTATTGCACCATCTCTTCCCAGTAATGGTAGAATCACTGCAGCTGGAAAAGCAGCAGGAAAGAAAAAGGCACAGGAATGTGGCTCTAGGTCCTTGACATCAGCTCTGTCGCTGGATCACTGAAAGCCTGTTTTTCCTTTTGTGTGACTACTGCCTGTACTGTATAATTAGGTACAGTGTTTTTACATGTAATTTGTTGCAACACCCTATTTTGTTATTTTTAATGCATTTATGTTCTGTTTTTTAATAGGCCTGTAAACTGTGAAGGCTTTTATCCTCCACCTGTGCCCCCAAGAGGTCGCTGAATCTCTCAACATCGGTGGAATATGAGATTTTTCTATATATATATATGTATGTGTGTGTGCTTGTACAGATATTTTTGGGTTGTCTTAAATTATTTATAAGTGGGAGCCAAATGTTTTTGTATCTTTCTTCCTCCCTAAAGCTCTGGTAGCTCTGCCTATGGTTTTCACTGAGATTTTTTGGTCTGCTGTAGTTTTTTTTTTTGTTTGTTTGGAAGAATGCTGGTGCTTTAAGACTTCGAGGGAAAAATCATGGTTGAAGAGGAGAATGCTGATATGTCTTGGCAGCCCTACACCAACATGGAGTTTCCCTTTGATGAAGAAAGAACACATCCTCTTAGAAATTAAATCCTGATAAGCACTGTCAACAAAACTTTCAGTACAATGTACAAGGGCTTCACTGGAAAACTTACTTAGAAAAAAAGCAAAACCCAAAAATTAAATACTTTGTTTGAAGAATTCTCATTACAGTAGGAGGTGCCATGTAGTTCTGTTCAGTGTAACATTTTCTGTGCAGGTACTGAAAGTCCAGAAAGTATGGAATCTCTCCAGTAATTATTAAACCACAGGAGAATGAAAAGTTAACTTTTTACAAATGTTTTGCTTATAATTTTGAAAATGCCTTTTCCCTTCCCTCCCTGGAGAGGATAGACATTAATGAGATGTGAGTGTGCTGTGTTTGCCATGAAAGCTCCCAAGGCAGCTGGCAAGGGATTTGCCGTGTCAAGACAGCTGTACATAAGCCATTGTGGGACTTGTCACTTGAAATCACACAGCTGACCTCTTAAATCAGGGGAAGAAAATGGTAGCACTGCTTTGTTCTTATCTTTATGCATGTTCACCGTAGCAGCATGAAAACCTTCCACTTCATGCTCTGGAATAATACAGCAACTCTGAAATTCGGGAGGCACACACCTCACAACTCAGCTGCACAGTTGGCTGCTGCAGTGGCATCCTGCCTGGGGCTTGCCTGTGTTTGCTCTGCCCTGGCTTTCTAGCAATGTGAATCACCAACAGCTGTGTCCAGTTCTCTTTTCTGCCTGAGGGCGTGCCAATGTAAGGACAGCTTCACGGTTGGGCTGTGTCTGCCAAATGTAGGAAGCACATAAAGCAGAAGTTTATTTTGATTCTTCATCTCAGGGGGGCTGAGGTGATTCAAATAAGGTGGATTTTTTGGATGTTGTTGGTTTTGAGGGTTTTTTTTTTTTTTTTTTTTTTTGTTTTGTTTTGTTTTGTTTTGTTTTTTCAGACCTTGTAATCTTCTGTGTGCCTATCCTGGCTCTTGGGGAACAATGAGTACAGGGTTCTGGTTGTCCATGAGTGACACAGATGGGAATTCTACAGGACAGCATTCAGGGCAGAACATTAAGGAGTGCTGCCTGCTTGGTTTTCAAATCACTCCCCCTCTTCCAGCCATGAGTGAGATATAGGATATGTGATGCTACCATTAGGGTATGTAAGCTTCCCTTGCTCTGTAGCAGAGCAGCGTTAGGATTGTACCCTGTTCTCTTGCAGCATGGTGAGGATAGTATAGGGAGCTGCAAGCTTCTGCAGGTCTTGTGGGCATAGGCATAAGCTAAATGTCATCTGCGTGTTAAAACCTGTAGAGTATGATGCCAAGTGCTGTTCGTACAGCCCTTACTCTTGCTACAAAAGGGCTGCAGACTGTGTACTGCAGGTCAGTAGATGAAGCGTGAAGAGTTAATGTATTTGTTGTTCAGGGTTTCTCTGTGAGGTGGGAGCTGCTTTCCGGTGCCCTTCTTGATTGGTTTCCAGGATTGGTTTGATTAAATTGCTTTAAGTTTCTTGCAGCTCAGTGTATGGAGTCCTCATCTGTAGACTTTAGTTGTGCAGGGTGAGCCATGGTGTGTATTGCCACCACCTGAAAAACACACTGAAATTAAAGCTTGAAAGAGATTAGAGAAGCATTTGCATATGACCAAATTGTTGATTAAGCACACATATGCTTGAACAGGAGTGTGAGAAGAAAGCATGTTTCCATGTAAAAGGACTGAGAAGATAATAAAATTGCTGGTAAAAAGTCAATGGCTCTTCCACAGGCAGGGGCACTGAGCTGCCTCCCAAACTTGGGTGGCAGCTGGCTGGCCTGGCAGAATGTTTGCTCTTTGTAATGTGCCTCACGCTGTTCTCTGCAGCAGATGGCTCTGCCTGAGAGACGTGAGCACTGAATAAACCGGAGACATTGAGGCACTCTCTGTCTCCCAGAGGTATTCAGCTCTACTTTGGACAGAGGTGCAATGACTGAGAAGAAGCATATGGTGCTGGCAAGGTTGTCCAAGTTTGGTTTTTTTTAAAGAAATTATAAGCAAGGGTTTTGAATGCGTTAGGGCAAATATTTCTTCCTAAAAGGAACTTGCTGTTACTGTAATAGGCAAGAGATTGGGAATATGGTATCATGAATGTAGAAGACCACAGAGAGAGAAGCTCTGACGATAGCAGTGGAGAGCAGTGGCAACCACGGAGCTCTGGGTTTGGAACTGTGCCTACAAAGCAGGGGGTGGCAAGCAACAGCACTGAGCCCTTGTGTTCAGCTCATCTCTTACTATTTGTTGGCTTGTGCCATACTTGAGATGGCACGGTTTCCTTTTTGAAATATAACTAACCTCTAAAACTTGGTTGTATTTGATTTAGCAATTGTCTGGTCAGCAAACACCTAATGCTGGCAGCTCCTCAGCTTCGTATGTTCATTTTCTGGACTTGTTAGTAGAGGTACGTGGAAGCACTTAGTTTGCTGCCTTTGTCCACGGAAAACTGGGCTGTTTGTCACACGGGGGCAGTTCGGCCTGCCATGCCAGCCCGTGCTCTGTATAAGGACGCAGACTTTTGTATTCTGGAATGGCGCTGTGAGTTTGTGGTGCCTGCACGGGCATCGCGGCAGACCAGACCGAGCGCGAGCGAATCTGCACGCTGCTCTGCGGGCGAGTTGTGTGGCACGCGGTTCTCCGTTCATTCCAAACGATGGATCGCTATCCTAACAGTTCATCGATTACAACATAGTTCTGTCGGTTAAAATACGGCTCTTCTCCACCGAGCTCCCCATAACGCCGCCGCGTGTCTCAGACCTGGGCCGCGCATGGGTCAGCGCCCCTCGGCCGCTCCCTGCGCCCCGCCCCGCCGGGAGGAAGAGCTGAGGGCTGCCCCGCGCGGCGCTCCACGGCCCCTGTCGGCCGCCGTAGGCAGCCCGCTTCCGGCGTGCGGCCGGATGACGTGGCCGGGCGGACCGGAAGTGGCGTCGCAGGTCGGCGTTGGTGGCGGGGCGCGGGCCGGCTCCGCGGCGGGGCCTGCTGCGTGCGCGGGGACGCGGAGGCCCGAGATGGCGGCGCCCGGGCTGTTGCTGCTCCGCGCGGCCGCCGCGCTGCTGCTCCTCTGTCTGCCGCCGCGCGTCCGCGCCGACGAGCACGTGCACACGGTGAGGCGGGCCCGGGCCGAGGCGCGGCCTGTCCGTGCCTCCGAGGGGCGTCGGTACCCGGGGCTGGTGGGAGGCGGCGGGTCGTGGCCTGCGAGGAGAGGGCGGAGGGCCGCGCCGCTCGGGCTGCCGTCGTTGCTGTGCGGAACCGGGAGCGGTACCGGGAGCCGCGCTGTAGGGGTGTGGGCCGCACGCTCGGGCCGCCCCGGGAGAGCGGGCACGGGGGCTTCTTCTCCGGGTTTTCCCGGTGCCACCGGCAGCGCAGCGGCCGCGAGTGCTGCCGCCCTGTCCCAGAGCCGCGCTCACGGCAGGCGCGCCGCCGTGTTTGATCAGCGCCGGGCCCCTCCTCCCAGCAGGGCGCCGAGCTCAGCTTCGGGACGGGCGGCCGCGGAGGGTTTGCGCGGGCACCGCCGCCACAGCCGTTCTCTAAAGCCCTCCGGCATCCCGCGGAAAGTAAATAGGTCGCGTCATCGCCTTCCGCTCCGCCGGTGCCGTGGTATCCCCCGCGGCCTCCTCTGCGTCTGGGCGGAAGCTGCGCTTGTTGGGCTGTGAGCGTGGCATGGGACGGCGCCGTGCTGAAGCTGCGCGTTCTGTCACGGAAGAGTTGTGCTGCCCCGGGCTGTGCTGGGTGCCGCCCCTGCCTGCAGCCTGGCCGCTACCGGCGTTCTTCCTTGGTGCTGCATGGGGAGCTCGATAAGTATTTCAGTGAGACGGCAGAATGGCACTGATAGCATGCACGCAGACAGTAGTGTGTGTGTGCATAATTCAGTGCCTTCGTGAGACTTGAACGTTGTTTAGAATAGCTTTTGTTTTTAGAAAGTGAATGGGATTTATTGGTGCTGCAGCTAATGACAGGAAAGCAAAGCCAGCGCCAAGTGCTTCCGGGGAGCAGATGGGTCTGTCTTAAAGGCTGTTTGCTTTTGGGATTTCCTCCTTGTAGAGTTGGCAGCTCTATGGGGAGAGGAGCACTTCATAAAGCTGGCATTCATTTTTATCACTTTTTTTTTTAATTGTTATTTTTTAAGAGCTCTCTCTTCAGAATTGAATTCACTTGATGGCTTTAGGTCTCCTGAACAATCGCTTAAGCAATTATTAATGGAAATTACAAAGTCATTTTTAAGTTCAGTTGACTTTTTAAAATCTAAATTACAGAAGTCTCCGAAATTGTATCTCTGTCCCCTGGGTTGGTATTCTGGTTTGCGTGATGTCCAGTGCAGGCACATCACGTGGCAGGTTAAGAATAGTTGATGTAAGAGGACAGTTATCTTTTTTTGGAAGGCTGTTGCCCCGCTCGGATGTTCTGAACCTTTAATATCGCATGAGATGTGGGGGTGGAAGCACTAATAGCACAAGTGAAGCATAAAGAGGATTTTGATTAGCACGGTGATTTTTGAGATTAAGAGCCTGTAGGAGGCATTCCTTAAAGGCTGCGTTTTAGCGAATTTTCAGTGTTGAAAATGACTGCAGTTGGAAGATAGCTTTCCCTGCAATCCCAGTGCTGTGTTATGTTCCAGAGGCTCTGCTTCCTTTTTGGAAGTGGTGGAGAAATAGTGGTGTACTGATTCAGAACTTGGTGGCTTTTCATTGACTTCAAGACCGAGTCCTGCTGGGAGCACGTGGCGCTGTGCCCTGCGCTATCCTTGTTCCCCAGCCCCTGGCAGCTCTGTGTCAGACATGCACAGTGCTTGGAAGTACTGCCTTCCACGTTAGCAGGTTAATCTTCTGTTCCTTTATTGCTGCTGTAATACAGAATGTAAACACGGTAAAATGAAGTGTGTACTGTGCTGTGTGTTTTAGTGCATGGTGTTCAATTTGCTGCTATGCTTTATCTATGTTGTTTATATTATAACCTTAGAAGTGAGGAAGCAATTACCACAAGAGTAGTAGTGTTTATGGAGATACTGGGTGTGGGTAGCTTTGCTGAATCAATAACATTTACAGAAGGTGTGCTGTGTCTTAAGCGTGTGTATAGAGCTTTAAAAATTAGGGAAAGGATAACATAAAGCAGTTACACAATAAGGAGTTGGCTGCTTAGAATCAATAGAGAGTAGAGAGGAAATTGGGATTTGACTGCCTTGGTGTTTCAAATGACATCAGTGTAACTTCAGAGCACAACAGAAGAATTTATCAGAGACTGATAACTTGCCCGCTGATTCTTCGACTGATTTT